GCTCAGGCAATCCACTCACCTCAGCCTCCCAAAGGCGTGGGATTACAGGCTAAGCCACCAGCCTGGCAAAAATTTTTTTAAAAACTTAGCTGGGCATTGAGGTGTACACCTATAGTCCCAGCTACTCAGGAGGCTGAGGCAGAAGGATTGCCTGAGCCAGGAAGTTGAGGCTGCGGTGAGCTATGATCGAGCCTGGGTGAAAGAGTAAGACCCTGGCTCAAAAAAATAAATGAAGTGACCATCTACCATCTGTAGATTTAAACCAGTAGTTTTCAAACTCTAGTTGACATCAGAATGGCCTGGAGAGCTGTGAAGCACCAGCTGCTGGCCCCAGCCTTGGAGTTTCTAGTTTAGCATGTCTGGGGTGGCACCCTAGGATGTACATTTCTTTCTTTCTTTTCTTTCTTTTTTTTTTTTTTTTGGAGTTAGAGTCTCACTGTTGCCCAGGCTGGAGTACAGTGGCAGACTCATGGCAACCCCAGCGTCCACCCGCTGGGCTCCGGCGATCCTTCCGCCTCAGCCTTCCAAGTAGCTGGAACTACAGGCGAGCGCTACCACACCCAGCTAATTTTCTGATTTATTGTAGAGACGAGGTCTCGCCAAGTGGCCCGGGTGGGTATCGAACCCGTGGCCTCAGGCAATCCACTTGCCTCAGCCTCCCAAAGCTCTGGGATTACAGGCTGAGTCAGCGAGTCCAGCTGAATGTACGTTTCTAACAAGTTCCCAGGCGGCGCCCACACTGTTGTTCTAGGGACCAGCCTTGGAGACCTCCTGCTTTAGAGAAGCTGCCCAGTAAGAATCAACATTAGCCGGGCCCGGTGGTTCACGCCTGTAATCCCGGCATTTTGGGAGGCAGAGGCGAAAGGACTGCCTGAGCCCAGGGGTTTGAGACCAGCCTGGGCAACTTGGTGAGACCTCGTCTCTACAATAAATCAAAAAATTAGCTGGGCGCGGTAGCACACGGCTGTGGTTCCAGCTACTTGGAAGGTTGAGGCAGAAGGATCGCCTGAGCCCAGCAGGTTGAGGCTGCGTGGCCGTGAGCAGCGTGCCACTGCACTCCAGCCTGGGCAACAGAGAGAGACTCTGACTCAAAAAAAACCCAAAAATCAACATTTTACCACCCAGTTGTGAGCAGCAGAAAGAGACCACACTGTTGGCGCTCTGACTTGCCCCTCCCTCAGCAGTCCGTTGGTCTGGGCAGTTTTTTTCCTCTAGAAGGAAGGCCCCAGATTAAGTCAAGCTCCACACAAAGATGGCAGGAGGTAGGGCTGTGGAGGTGGTTGTCCAATTCAATGTCCTCTTTTTTTGAGTCAGGGCCTCACTTCGTCGCCTAGGCTGGAGTGCAGTGGCACGATCATGGCTCCCTGCAACCTCCAACTCCTGCCTTCGAGTGATCTTCCTGTCTCAGCCTCCAAAGTAAGCTGGAACTAAAGGTGCAGGCCACCGCATCCAGTTACTTTTTTTTTTTGGAGAGATGAGGTCTTGCTATGTGGCCCAGGCTGGTCTTGAACTCCTGGGCACAAGCAATCCTCCTGCCTCAGCTTCCCAAAGTGCTGGGATTTCAGGGATGAGCCACTGTGCCTGGCCTCAATTTTCTTTAAGAATGAGTGGCAGGCCAAGTGTAGAGGCTCAGGCCTGTAACCCCAGCACTTTGGGAGGCCAAGGAGGGAGGAGTCAGGAGTTCGAGACCAGCCTGGACAATATAGTGAGACTTGCTTCTATAAAAAATTGATAGTAAGAATGAGTAGCTAGGTAAATAAGGAAGAAAAATCAGGGATGGATATGTTGGTGAAGTTTTCTTTCTTTTTTTTTCTTTTTCTTTTTTTTTTTTTGAGTTGGAGTCTTACTCTCTTGGCCAGGTTGGAGGGCAGCAGCACACTCCCAGCCACCACAGCCTCGACCTGCTGGGCTCCAGCGATCCTTCCACCTTAGCCTTCCAAGGAGCTGGAACTATAAGCATGTACCACCATGCCTGGCTAATTTTTTGATTTATTGTAGAGACAAGGTCTCGTCAAGTTGCCCAGGCTGGTCTCGAACCCCGGGGCTCAGGAAATCCTCTCGTCTCAGCCTCCTAAAGTGCTGGGATTATAGGCATGAGCCACCATGTTTGGCTTGATTTTTTTCTTTCTTTCTTTCTTTTTTTTAATAAAGACAAGGTCTTGCTATGTTACCTAGGCTGGTTTGAACTCTTGGGTTCAAGCAATCCTCCCGCCTTGGCCTCCCTAAATAGTGAGACTACAGGTGTGAGCCAGCACGCCCGGCCCAGGAGCTATATTCTTACCCGCTTGTGGTGATTCCACAGTCTGGACAGAAACTCAAACTTGACACACAAACGTTCATTGGTGTTCAGTTGCAGGATGGACAATTCTGCGCCCTCGAGGTACAGGATGCTGGCTGAAGGGCAGAGGGAGGAGAGGTGACACACAGATGCAGATCAGCTAAGAGGACCCGCTGGGTGTGTCGCTTCCCCATCTGTGGGGCTTGCTCACTCCTACAAGAAATTCTGCACATCTTACCTCACTCTCCACTTCCTGCCCCCTTGGGTTCACACTTGGGTCTTGCTTAGCCTCCTGCCCTGCAGACAGTTATTTCCCAGCTGGGCAAGGACAAGTGACACTTTACCCTGTGCTAGAAGCAAAGGCTTTGCAGATTTGCAGCTAAGGTGTTGGCCGCCTGACACAGGTGTCAAACACAGCCACCTCACCCTCCTGGGAGGGGTAGCGGCTGTCAGCAGTGAGTATTCAGGGTAGGGCCTTCCATAGACAATTTCCCTCAAGCCTTGCTCACAAGTCTGGGACTTAACCCCAGACCTCCCAATTCTGTAATCCAAACTCTGTATCCCTGAAGAGGTTTGAGATGGTTTTATTTTACTTTTATTTTTTGTAGAGACAGGGTCTCGCTATGTTGCCCAGGCCGGTCTCAAACTCCAGGCTTTAAGGGATCCTCCCATCTCAACCTCCCAAAGTGCTGGGATTACAGACATGAGATACCATGCCCAGCTGGGATTGTTTTATAAGATGCTGGTCCCTAAAAGGGAACAAGCAGGCTGGCAAATGTGCTACTATTTTTCCAGTAAATTTGTGGTACTGCAGTCATAATATTAACCACTTGTCTTTTTTTTTTTTCCCTCCCTCAGGGTGATAAGAATTTTAAGCTGAAGGAAGGCCTTTCATGAAGGATGGTGTGATGAGGAGATATCCCCATGGGGTAATATTTAAAAAGCTGGAAAAGTATTACCTGCGTGAGATGATGGATCCTTTTGGTGCTAAATTTGGGGCTTCACGGGCACAGGATTGGGAGCCCAGTTCTGAGTCTGAGTTGGGAGAGCCCTCAGCCAAGTCTGCATTTTTTTGGGGGGGGTGGGGAAGGATCTCCTACTCACCGTCTGTCTGAAGTGTCCACTCGATGTGGGCCACAGGGAGTAGCTCTCCACCCTGGGTGTGGACAAAGCGCAGCTGGATCTGGACGTCTTTTGGGGATGAAGGGGTGAGGTTTCGAGGGTGGATCCAGCTGTCATCCAGGCAGGTACCTGGCAGCCAGGGAAAGCACTGGTCAGAGGCCTGCTGCACAGGCCCGAGGATGCCCCAGCAGCTGGCCCAGAGAGCTAGACACAGAGTTCAGGGGCCTGGGGCTCTACAGCTTTTGACCCTTAGTGGGTCCTCACCTCCCTTGCCTTGACCCCTCTTTTCTTTCTTTCTTTCTTTTTTTTTTGAGTTGGAGTCTCACTCTGTCGCCCAGACTGGAGTGCAGTGGCCGCTCCCGGCCACTGCAGCCTTGACCTGCCGGGCTCTGGAGATCCTTCGCCTCAGCCTTCCAAGTAGCCAGAATTACAGGCATGTGCTACCAGGCCCGGCTGATTTTTTTGATTTATTGTAGAGATGAGGTCTCACTGCCCAGGCGGGTCTCGAACCCGCGGGCTCAGGCAACCCACTCACCTCAGCCTCCCAAAGGCGCAGGATGACAGGCTGAGCCACTGAGCCAGGCTGACCCCTCTTTTCTTTTTTGAGTCAGTCTCACTATGCCGCCCAGGCTGGAGTGCAGTGGCACGCTGCTCACGGCCACCGCAGCCTTGACCTGCTGGGCTCAGGTGATCCTTCTGCCTCAGCCTTCTAAGGAGCTGGGACTACAGGCATGTGCTACCACACCTGGCTGATTTTTTTTTTTTTAATTGTAGAGACAAGTTGCCCAGGCTGATCTCAAACTCCTGGGCTCAGGCAATCCTCTTGCCTCTGCCTACCAAAGTGCTGGGATTACAGGCATGAGCCACCATGCCCAGCTCTTTTCTTTTCTTTCTCCTTTTTTCCGAGTTGGAATCTCACTCTGTCACCCAGGCGGGAGTGCAGTGGCACAATCATGGCTACTGTAGCCTCACTCTGCTGGGCTCAGGTGATCCTTCTACCTCAGTCTTCTAAGTAGCTGGAACTACAGGCACGTGCCACTACGCCCAGTTAATTTATTTGTTTTATTTTTTTTAAGTTGGATTCTCACTCCATCGCCCAGGTTGGAGTGTAGTGGCATGCTCACAGCCACCCCAGTGTCAACCTGCTGGGCTCTGGCGGTCCTTCCACCTCAGCCTTCCAAGTAGCTGGAACTATAGGCACATGCTACCACTCCCAGCTAGTTTTTTGTTTGATTTATTGTAGACAGGAGGTCTCACCATGTTGCCCAGGCTGGTCTCAAACCCGTGGACTCAGGCAGTCCTCTTGCCTCAACCTCCCAAAGTGCTGAGATTACAGGCTTGAGCTACCACACCCAGCCAATTTTTTTAATTTATCATAGAGACAGGGTCTCGCCAAGTTGCCCAGGCTGGTCTCGAACCCCTGGGTTCAGGCAATCCTCTCATCTCGGCCTCCCAAAAGGCTGGGATTACAGGCTTGAGCCACCATGCCCGGCCAATGTTTTGATTTATTGTAGACACGAGGTTTCATTTGTTGCCCAGGCTGGTCTCAAACCCGCAGGCTTAGGCAATCCTCTCACCTCCGCTTCAAAAAGTGCTGCGATTTACAGGCACCCAGCCAAGAGTTGCTGTATTTTTATATGTAAAGAATTCCTGATTAGCACAACACTTGACAATGTCCCTCCTCTTTGGATGAAAACAAAACAAAATCAACACCACAGATGTATCTCACTTTATAGTGAAAAACTGTGGCAAATCAAATTGCACTGCAGACACACGAGGGCGGCATCCCAGAGAATCCCTTCAGAATCCAAGTGACAATTTTGTTTCTCATCTCCCGGCTCCTGTGTAATGAATATTCTCAACAGGATGCACAGGTGCCTGCGGCCAGGATTCTCCAGGACTCCTCTGCTGTTGCTTTTAAGTCACAGCCTAAATCTGAGTGGCAGTTGGGTTTCTGCCAGACAGCCACACGAGGTGCTCCCTTGACTCACAAAGTATCAACCACAAGGACAAAAGAGATGACTTACTGTTTCTGACGGTGCAGTTCAGCCCCTGTGAAAAAAAGAGCAGGTGGGGATTAGAGCTGCAAAATAACTTATTAAAAAATGTATTTCTTATTTATTTCTTTGTAGAGACGAGGTCTCACTGTGTTGCCCAGGCTGGTCGCAGACTCCTGGGTTCAAGCAATTCTCCTGCCTTGGCCTCCCAAAGATTATAAGCGTGAGCCACCATACCTGGCCTGTTTGAAACATTCCAGTACCATTTTTAAAGGAAGTTTGCTATATATTACTTGATAGAAGTTAATTAAAAGAACAAGCCGGGCTCGGTGGCTCAGCCTGTAATCCGGTGCTTTGGGAGGCTGAGGTGAGCGGATTGCCTGAGCCTGCGGATTGTTCGAGACCCGCCTGGGCAACTTGGCGAGACCTCATCTCTACAATAAATCAAAAACTAGCTGGGCGTGGTAGCACGCGCCTGTGGTTCCAGCTATTCAGAAGGCTGAGGCGGAAGGATCGCTGGAGCCCAGGTCAAGGCTGCGGTGGTCGGGAGCGGCCACTGCACTCCAGTATGGGCCACAGAGTGAGACTCCAATGCAAAAAAAAAAAGAAGTTTATCTATGATGTAACTCCCAACAAGTAAAAGGATTGAAAAGTGCGATGAACAAATGAAATCATTAATTTTGTTTAGGGCCAGCCCGGACATCTTGGTGAGACCTCATCTCTACAATAAAAAAAAAAACAAAAAACAAAAAAAACTAGCTTTGCGTGGTAGCACATGTCTGTAGTTCTGGCCACTTGGAAGGATCGCTGGAGCCCAGCAGGTCGAGGCTGCAGTGGTCGGGAGCATGCTACTGCCCTCCAGTCTGGGCAACAGAGTAAGACTCCAACTCAAAAAAAAAAAAAACCACAAAATTTTGTTTAGGGGAAGAAATAGTGGACATTTTTTTCCTTATAATATTTTTATACAGATTTTTACATTCACATAGCCTTTTTAATAAGGTAAAAAATGCATTCAGGATCTTGTTTGGATACTACTAAGACACATCTTGTTCTGTCCAATAAATTCCTTTTCAATAGTCATTTCTAGTTGTTTTTTTTTTTTTTTTTGAGTTGGAGTATCACTCTGTCACTCAGGCTGGAATACAGTGGCACGCTCACGGTCACCGCAGCCTTGACTTGCTGGGCTCAGGTGATTCTTCTGCCTCAGTCTTCCAAGTAGCTGGCACACACCACCATGCCTGGCTACTTTTAAAATTTATTTATTGTAGAGATGAGGTCTCGCCAAGTTGCTCAGCCTGGCCTCGAACCCGTGGGCTCGGGCAATCCGCTCACCTCAGCCTCCCAAAGTGCTGAGATTATAAGTGTGAGCCACCGTGGCTGGCCTGTCATCTCTGATTTCTTTACTTCAATTGCCCATTCTTTAAAAATAGGATGTAAATACTATTATTATATTATTTATGAGCTACCTGTGTGTGAACGGGATCATGCCGGACATCTTGCAGAAATCAGAGAAGGGGCATGTTCCCGACAAGGAAGACGATAATGAGAGCAGCTAATGTTTATCGAGTTCCTCTTCTGCGCCAGGCACCGCACAAAGCACTTTACACACATATCTCATTTAATTCTGACAAGCCCAGGGAACACAGTGAGACTCCCATCTCTGCAAAAAACTAAAAGAGCCAGACAGAGTGGCATGCACCTGTCGTCCCAGCTACTGAAGAAGCTGAGGTGGGAGAACTGCTTGCGCCCAGGTGTTTGAGGTTGCAATAAGCTATGATAGCACCACAGAGTAAGGCCATGTCTTTAAAAAAAAAAAAAAAAATTGAGAACAGTCCTAAGAGCAAGGTACCTTATCCCATCTGTACTGAGGGACACCTGGGCTCAGGGAGGTCAGCTAAGTGGCCCAAGGCCCCAAAGAGATGACACTTGCTCTGTGCAGTTTGGTTCCTAATTGCTGCTTTGCTGTCTCTCAAAGTGAAAAAGGCCACCTCCATCAGGTAGGCCACCCTTCTCTATCCATAGCAGTAAAATCTAGAAGGAAGAAATGAAAGACTGTATTCAATTTCGTGCATTCAATGAACTACCAAGTGCCTGATCGGAAGAGCAGGCTTTGAAGCTACATGCACAGCCCTGCTGTGTTACTCAGCTCAGCACTCTCCAGCTGCGTGATCTTGGACCAATCACCCAGCCTCCCCAAAGCAGGTTGATCAGCTGGTCTTGCAGGCTGCTGAGAGCATGAGATGAAAGTAGACACCCAAACCACCTGTACAGCGCCTGGCACTAAGGACTCAACTTTGTACGCTCTGGGAGAGTGACACGGCTCAAAGTGGCTTCTGGCGACCAGAAAAGGGTTAAACCAAACAGTTATTCTGCCACTGCAAGTGGAAACCACAAGCGCTCAGGAAAAAAGAATTCGTAATGAAACCTACATCCTGTCTCCAACACTGAGTTTTAACGTTCACACTGCCCAACCCAAAGTTGGCGTTGGCTTTCCTGGCAGTCCTGTGGGCTGGCGGTCGTGGGAAACCTGCCAGAAAGCCCAGGGAGGAGAAGGGTTACTCAAAAGACTGGCCAGGGAAATGCAATTACCCGTGGCTTCTCCACATTGATTTCTGCAGAGACATCGACATCATCTGGGTTTCAGTGCCAGAGCCAGTACGACAGCTGGTCTCCGCTCACCGTTGTTTTCCATGCAGACCCAACCATTCATTCCTTCATTCCTGCATTCTTTTGTTCTTTCTTTCTTCCTTTTTTTTTTTTTGAGTCAGGGTCTTACTCTGTTGCCCTGGCTGGCACGCAGGGACATGACCACGGCTCACTGCAGCCTCGACCTCCTGGCCTCAGCCTCCCGAGTAGTAGTTGAGATTATGGGCATGTGCCTGCCACCACACCCAGCTAGTTTGTTGATTTTTTTTTTTTTTTGGAGAGACGAGGTCTCACTATGTGGCCCAGGCCGGTCTTGAACTCCTGGGCTCAAGGAATCCTCCCAACTCGGCCTCCCAAAGTGCTGGGATTACAGGCGTGAGCCACTGCGCCCAGTGTCTTTCCTTTTAAAAGGACTAGTTGGAGTCAGGAGCTGTTTGTTGGAAGAGATGAGCTGTCTGTAAGCCATGTGTGTGGGGGGGGGG